TAGCACTGCATCCATTTGTTGAAACATCTCAATTGGTATTATGTCAGTTCCTGAAGACTTGTTTTTCGCCAGTGCTTTCGGTGCAGCTTGGACCTCTTCCTTCAGTACCATCGGTTCTTGATCATATGCTACCTCCTGAAATGGTTGAATGTCGACCAATTCTTTTTGGTACAGTGACTCTGTGCATCATTTAGTATTTTCTCAGTAAAATACTTCAATATTGCAACTCGAGGCTTGAATTTTTTTCTTCAGTTTTTCAGCTTGAGAAATACTGAGGATTTTCTTCCCTTTTGGTTTTCTATCTCCACGTCTTTTGCACATTTCGTAATACTTTACTTTTTAGTCTTCTTGAGCCGCCTTTTGAAATCTTCTGTTCGGCATCATTTTTCCTTTTGCTTCAGCTACTCCACATTCAAGAGCAACTTTCAGAGTCTCTTCTGACATCCATTTTGGTCTTTTCTTTCTTTCTTGTCTTTTTAATTACCTCTTGCTTTCTTCATGTATGTTTTCCTTGATGTCATTCCACAACACGTCTGGTCTTTCGTTATGAGCGTTCAATGCGTCAAATCTATTCTTGAGATGGTCTCTAAATTCAGGTGGGATATACTCAAGGTCATACTTTGGCTCTCGTGGACTTGTTCTAATTTTCTTCAACTTCAACTTGAACTTGCATATGAGCAGCTGATGGTATGTTGCACAGTCGGCCCTGGCCTTGTTGTGCCTGATGATATTGAGCTTTTCCATGATCTCTTTCCACAAATGTAGTCGGTTCGATTCCTGTGTATTCCATCTGGCAAGGTCCATGTGTATAGCCACCGTTTATGTTGGTGAAAAAAGGTATTTGCAATGAAGAAGTCGTTGGTCTCGCAAAATTCTATCATGTAATCTCCAGTGTCATTTCTATCACCAAGGCCATATTTTCCAACTATCAGTCCTTCTTGTTTCCAACTTTCACATTCTGTCATGGATTGAATTATTTCCACCAAAAAATGTGTGCATCAATCTGGCTGGGCCATGATTCCCAGTATTGTGTGGTTGTCCTCCATTTTGTGATTGTAATTTTATGTTAAAGAGAATTAGGGTGGGATTGTAACACCACCCTTACCCAGGTCACATCCCTGATCCAATGTAAAGGGAGTTTCCCTGGTGTGTAGGTTGCACCACCTTTTATCTCTCAAGAGATAAAAAGAGAAGAGAAGCAAGCAGAGAATTGGGGACCTCATACCACCAAGAAAGCAGTGCCGGGAGCAGAGCCTGTCCTTTAGACCTGAGGTTCCTGGGCTGAGATGCTCCCAGACAAAGGGAAGATTGATGAGAAGGACCTTCCTCCAGAGCCCACAGAGAGAGAAAGCCTTTCCCTGGAGCTGATACCCTGAATTTGGACTTTTAGCGTACTTTACTGTGAGGAAATAAATTTCTCTTCGTTAAAGCCATCCACTTGTGGTATTTCTGTTACAGCCACACTAGATGACTAAGACACATTACAATCGCCAGTAATTATCAATGTGTCTTGATTGCATGTTTGATCAATTTCAGACTGCAAAAGTTGGTAAAAATCTTCAATATCTTCATCTTTGGCCTTAGCAGTGGGAGCGTAAATTTGAGTAACAGTCGTCTTAAGTGGTCTTCCTTGTAAGCATATGAATATTATGCTATCACTGACAGCGTTGTACTTCAGGGTAGATCTTGAAATGTTCTTTTTGACGGTGAACGTGATGCCATTCCTCTGCAATACGTCATTCCTCGCATAGTAGACCATATGATTGTCTGATTCAAAATGGCAAATACCAGTCCATTTCAGCTCAGTAATGCCTAGGGTATCGATGCTTATGCATTCCATTTCATTTTTGAAGATTTCCAATTTTCCTAGATTCATAGCCAACCACCTGGAAGAGATCAGTATTTGTACTCATTCCAAAAAGGTGATCTAACAGAATGCGGAAATTATTGTACAATATCATTAATATAACACACAAGTAAAATTTTGCCGAAGATCATTCAAAAGCAGCTGCAGAAGTACATCGACAGGGAACTGCCAGAAATTCAAGCTGGATTCAGAAGAGGACGTGGAACAAGGGATATCGTTGCTGATGTCAGATGGATCCTGGCTGAAAGCAGAGAATACCAGAAAGATGTTTACCTGTGTTTTATTGACTATTCAAAGGCTTTCAACTGTGTGGATCATAACAAATTATAGATAACATTACAAAGAATGAGAATTCCAGAACACTTAATTGTGCTCATGAGGAACCTGTACTTAGACCAAGAGGCAGTCGTTCCAACAGAATAAGGGGACTCTGTGTGGTTTAAAGTCAGGAAATGTGTGCATTAGGGTTGTATCCTTTCAGCATACTTATTCAATCTGTATGCTGAGCAAATAATCTGAGAAGGTGGACTCTATGAAGAAGAACGGAGCATCCGGATTGGAGGAAGACTCATTAACAACCTGCGTTATGCAGATGACACAACCTTGCTTGCTGAAAGTGAAGAGGACTTGAAGTACTTACTGATGAAGATGAAGACTACAGCCTTCAGTATGGATTACAGCTCAACATAAAGAAAACAAAAATCCTCACAACTGGACCAGTAAGCAACATCATGATAAACGGAGCAAATATTGAAGTTGTCAAGGATTTCATTTTACTTGGGTCCACAATCAATGCCCACAGAAGTCAAGAAATCAAACAATGCATTGCATTGGGCAAATCTGCTGCAAAAGATCTCTTTAGTGTTAAAAAGCAAAGATGTCACTCTAAGGATGAAAGTGTGCCTGACCCAAGCCATGGTGTTTTCAATCACTTGATATGCACATGAAAGCTGGACAGTGAATAAGGAAGACTGAAGATGAATTGATGCCTTTGAATTATGATGTTGGCGAAGAATATTGACTATACCATGGACTGTCAGAAGAACAAACAAATCTGTCTTGGAAGAAATACAGCCAAAATGCTCATTAGAAGCAAGGATGGTGAGACTTCGTCTTACATGTTTTGGACATGGTATCAGGAGGGACCAGTCCCTGGAGTAGAACGTCATGCTGGGTAAAGGGTTGGCAAAAAAGAGGAAGACTCTCAAGGAGATAGACTGACATAGCGGGTGCAACAATGAGCTCAAGCCTAACGATTGCGAGGATGGCCCAGGACCGGGCAGAGTTTCATTCTGTTGTACAAAGGGTTGCTCTAAGGTGGAACCAACTCAATGGCACCTAACAACAACAACTAGCAGTCCATGGTGTCTTCAATATTCTTTGCCATCATCACAATTTGAATGTCACTTCTTCTTCAGTCTTCCTTTTTCTTTGTCCCCAGGTTTCGCATGGTTCAAACGTCCCCTCCACCTGAGGGGGCAGGCCTCTGGTGGTCCCTCCAAGGGGCTCAGGGGCTGCGTGCTGCCATTGAAACCCTGATCCCATGAGCAAGGAAGCAAACTCTCTTGGCCCCTGGACCCTGCAGCCAATGGATGCCCAGGCAGTAGGCAGGGCGTGGACAAGTGATGTCTGCCTGTTGTAGGTATCACATTTGACAAGAACGCATGGTGTCCTGAAGTTCCTAAGTCATTATAGTCCGAAGAAGTAGAGTTTGGGGAAGCATCCCAAATTTTGGGTTTTGTGACACAGGAGTTATTCCTAGGAGTGAGATTGGGGACGATTTTTACTTTCTTCTTTCCAGTCTTATTTTAGCTTGAATTTTTTGCCATCATCGCAAGTGATTTTACAACAACAAAGCTACTTCCAACCGTGAGCTCTGATGGGTGTGCATTATGGGTCCCCAGAGGTGCAGTCTGCCAGTTACCTGCACCTCGCAGATAGCAACCAGATGCTGCCAGACGGGTTGAAGGGTGCACAGGGCATGGTTGGGGCCCTAGAGAGAATGAATGCCTTTTCTGAGGGAGACCGGTGGGGGCCCCGGGGAGAAAGGATGACAATGACAGGGAACGTGCGAAGTGAGGAGAATGGCACCCAGGAAATAGAACCAGCAAAGGCTCAGCGCCATGAAGGGACCATCGGGAGACTGACGAGGAGTTCTGGGCAGCAAGAGCAGAAGGTGTATGGGGAAGAGTTCGGGAACCCAGGAAGCAGTGGCCCACTTGGGGCTCATGGGCACCACAGGAGACATTTTTTCTATTGTCGTGAAAATATATAAAACAAAACATTCAATAATTCAGTAATTTCTACATGTATCATTCAGTGACATTGATTACATTCTTCATATTATACAACCATTCTCTCTCCTTTTCCAAATTATTCTACCACCATTAACATAAACTCACTTCCCCCTAAGCAAAATTTCCCCTTTCCCCCTCATCTCACTCCTGATAACCACTTATAATCTTTAGTTTCTATATATTTGCTTATTTCTTATAAGTGAGACGATACAGTATTCATCATTTTGCAACTGACTTATTTTACTCAGCATGATCTTTTCAAGGTTCATCCATGCTGTGGCATGTATCAGGATTTTCTCTTTATGGTGGAGTAATATTCCATTGTATGAACATACCACATTTTGTTTATCTGTCATCTATTGACGGATACTTGGGTTGTTCTCACCTTTTGGCTATTACGAATAATGCAGTGAACACTGGTGTACAGGTTTCTGCCTTCACTTCTTCTGATATATATCTAGGATTGCAATTGCTAAGTCAATGTTCAACTTTTTGAAGAACACCAAAGTGTTTTACAGAGCAGCTGTAGCAGGGAGACTTTTTTAACCACCAAGCTTGCAGGGAACAAAGCTTCAAACAGTGGAGGAAAACACTGAGAAAGTAGAATTCACCCCAAATCCCACCCCCCCGTCCCCAGACACATCACTGCAAATGTTCTGATGACTCCCTTTCCGCGTCTACAAATACACCAGTGGAGCTCCTCAGTTGGTCTCCGTGACGGGGTGGGGGCGCCACTGGCATGGTGGACGCTAGCCATGCTAGGTCTGGAGAGAATGCACCTCACAGACCTCCAACCACAGAACTACAACTGACCGAGGCCCGGCTCTCTGGAACCCAGTGCAGCTGTGTGCCAAGGCCACGGCTCCCACAGATCCATTCTGGGGTGACACCGGACTTCTCTGACCACAGTGTTGCCTTGACGATCTTCAAACCTATGGCACTTGGGCAAGCTAGATTGCAAATTTTTATTGCTGTCTGGGGACTGGGTCCAGGCCTCTGAAATTAACATATCCTTCCTTAAAATTTTGCGCTGAAGTGCATGTCAAAGCAAATTTGCTAATGTGTGTCCAGTCCTGCTCAGGGCGTTAAGGACACAGGTGAATGAGAAGACCCCCAGTGGGAGCCCTCAACCCAGGAAAAGGCGTGAAGGCTCGTTCGTCAACGGGCAGGGCCTCCGGATGGGTCTCACCAGGGCTTTTATCCTGGGGCGTGGGGGCATCAGATACTTCTGACTGGAATCTGACTTAAAGCGGCGTTGCGACGTCGGGTGGCCGTACTGAGGACAAGGGGGCTGTTAGCGTTGGCCCAGGGACGTCACAGCCGCCGACTACATTATGACGTGGGATGCCCCCTTCTAACGTAGAGGGTTGCGTTTAGACCTGAAAAGGCCTAAACGCTAGGAGAAAACCCACCGCAAGGGCCCGCTCGCCTACCGAGAACAAGGACGGCTCGGTGCGGAAGGGAGGGACGACGGCGAGCGCGAGCGCGCGTCCACGCGTCCGCGGCGAGCTGGCCCCTCCCCTGTGTTGACGTGCGCGCGCCCGCGCCTAGGGCCTTGCAGTGGCGTAACCGTAAAGAGGCACGGCCGCGTCGTGAAAGGCCACAACACGCAGAGCGCTGGTTAACAGCCGGGACTCCATTTTGTTCGCCGCTTCTCTGCTCGGAAGTCGCTTCTGGCCGCGGCTTGTCTGAGGCGAGAAGTTTAAAAAGGCTGAAAGTTTTAAGGAGTATTCTGGAGTTCCGTTGATAGGCGCAGCGGTCTCCACTCGCGTCTCCCCGGAAGTCGTCGGTCCCGCGGCCCCGAAGCAGCAGAAGATGCGGCCCCTGGACGTGGTGGAGCTGGCGGAGCCCGAGGAGGTGGAGGTGCTGGAGCCCGAGGAGGACTTCGAGCAGTTCCTGCTGCCGGTCATCCACGAGATGCGGGAGGACATCGCGGCGCTCACCCGCGAGCGCGGCCGGGCCTACCTGCGGACCCGGGGCAAGCTGTGGGAGATGGACAATATGCTCCTCCAGATCAAGACGCAGGTGGAGGCGTCGGAGGAGAGCGCGCTCAACCACCTCCAGAACGCCGACGACGGCGCGGCCGCCAGGGGCGAGAAGGCCGAGGAGAAGGCCAGGGAGATGGCCAAGATGGCAGAGATGCTGGTGGAGCTGGTGCGGCGGATAGAGAGGAGCGAGTCGTCGTGAGCGGGGCCGGCGGTGAGTGGAGGGTTGTCTTAATCCTGCGGAACGTCTCGGGGGGTGATTACTTAGCGGCGATCCACGAGGGGTGGGAGCGGGGAAGGGTTTTAACCGGGGCGTCGGGACGGTCGTCGTGAGCGGAGCGACCGGGCGGCAGCTCCCAGCAACAGCAGACACCATTTGAAAACGTTTGTTTTTACCCCGATAATTAGGAAAAATGAGTTGTGGGGGTTTTGTTTACTTATTTTTGCGTGGGTGTGTTTGGTTCAAACCTAAGGCCACAGTCAGGGTAATTATAGGATAATAGACCGTCGTAAAAGTTTCTAAGAGAACAGAAAGAGACGATATAGGCCATTGTGCAAGGAAGGGTAGAAATAGAGTTGCTGGACAATCCCAAATTTTGCTAAAAAGCTAGAGTGAGTTGAATGTCATTCCAGAAGAGGTGACGCCTGCGCAATTGAATTTGTGAGGATTTTTGGTTTGTTTTTTCCTCAGGATTAACCTCTTGGTGAAAAATTTCTCCCAATTGTGCTTTAGGTTTACAGCCAGTGGATCTGGTCAACTGATGGAGATTGGCTGACACCCTGGAGAAGTGGAAACCAGAGAGCCTGTTGTTTTCTCTGTCTCTCTTCTTTTTTTTTTCTTTTTCTTCTCTACGTTCTGTCTTCACTTACACTACGTTTCTGCTATGGTCTGTGGTTGATGACCTCAATATGAGTTTTGATTGTTGAGTGTTTTTGTTTTGGGAAATAACTTTTATTTGGAAAATGTGCTCATGCAAGGGAATTAGGGCCTAGATTGTAAGCTCTTGTAGCAGTCACATTTGTTCCTGGTCTTTGGTTATTATTTTTTAAAATTTGAGGTGCTTTGCTCTTTCTTGTGTGACCTGGTAAGCTCCCTGGAACTTTGGGTCTCTGTGACACGTGAGACTTGGAGTTGGAGTTCTCCAGCTCTGGAGGTGCTGGAAGAGCTGCATCCGTTTGGAAGACATCTCCCTGCAGCAACTGCTGAAGAAGCTGAAGAAGGGACCAGACTTCAGTTCGGGGTGTGAATGGGCTGATCTGGCTGGGACTGAGATGAATCAGAAGCCGGGCTGGAGGATGGCATTGTCTGTATTTTGGGACTTCATTTCTATATGAGACCAAAGGAGGAGAGATGTATTTTGTTCAAAATTCATATTATCTGTGGCACATTACCTGATGTAACCTGTCTGGTCAGTTTATTTGAACAGCCTAACTCAGCTTTATTTGACATAGAAACTAGAATAGCAGATGAGATTTTGGTATTCTGTACAGGGGGGTTCTGGGCATAAAATGAAAGAAGTATTTGCAAAGGCTGTTGAGGGCTGGAGAAGGGAAGCATGGAATTGTCTGCATTGGACCCTAAACTGGACAAGGAAGAGGCATCTTCAAGGTTTGTAAGTTGTCCAGCTGTAAGTTCATTTGAGTCGCAGACCTGACAAATATTTGAGGTCAAAACCCTGCCATGTTTAAAAAAAAAAAAAAAATACTTACCATGTTAATAAAAGTATTCATTTGCTTGAAAAGACAAACGAACCAAAAAGTGATTCATTGAGAAATCTAATTTCTTTTAGAATGAAATCTTTGTCCTTGACTATCATCGTTATCAAATGGGGCATGAACTGTGTGTGGTTTAGGAGGCGCTCCGTAAGCCTCTACTTGTGGGGAGATTTGATCTCAGCATGCTGCTACGGGAACTGAGTGAGGGCTGAGCATAGGGTTCTCAGTGTAGGAAGGAATCACATATGATCCTGTGGTTCAGACTTCTGCCTTCAAGGAGCCAAAGTACCTTCATGTTTCAGCAATTAGAATATAGTCTAGTCCTTGCACTAGGAACATAGCAGTAAGCCATAGTCTAAGTGGGGTGGGGAAGGACTTAGAGTCGATGTGGTGATGTGCCACCTAGTTCCCCCATAGGAATGAAGGACTCAGTCCCCCAGCTACTGGAGGTGTTGCTGACAGCCCTCTCCAGGAAGTGCCTCTGCTGAGGAGAAGTGCCTTGGCCAAGGTCATGCCCCCTCCCCTGGGTGGCCCACTTCAGTAACTAATGGAAGTTCATGGCCTCTACCCCTTGCACTGCAACTTGGGACAACTTTGAAGCGCATCTCAGCTTCAGAGTCCAGGTGGATTCTGCTGAGACTTTTGGGACTGCATCGCATCCCGACTTCTCCCTTTGCCCAGTCCTGCATTGCTTTCCTTCCACAGGCGTTAATCCCTAATAAATTACCTGCACTCTAAAGGTCGGCAGTTCAAATCCATCAGGTGCTCCTTGGAAACTCTGGGGCAGTTCTCCTCTGTCCTGTAGGGTTGTTATGAGTCTGAGTTGACGGCAACAGGTTTGGGGTTTTTTGTTTTTTGTTTTTTTACTCTAATCTTCATTTCAGAGTCTGCTTCCTGAAGGACCCAGCTTGTAGAGAAATGTAAAACAGCCAGAAACCATGTGCTGCAAGCTCTAATACAGATATGTGTCTCAGGAGAGCACTGGGGATAGTGTAGGAAAGCTTTCAGAGCCGTTACTGGTGAACTTGGCCTTGAAAGATGAGTACAGCTTGCAGGGCCAAGAGGAGGATGGGGAACATCCCAGTCACAGTATGAGAAAATGCCAGAGGTTCAGAATCTTCCATGTGAGTTCAGTGGTGGGGAGAAGTGGGTAGCATGGAATTATGAACCAGGAAACAACAATAAAATGCTGTACTTGGTGCATTTGTCAAAACTTAAGAAGTTAACACTGGCACTAAAGACTTTATTACAATTTCATGTATTTTTGCTAATGCTTTTTCCAGCTGCAGTATCCATTCCAAGATACCACATTGCAATAGTTAATACTTATGAATGGCACAGAATTTAAAAACTGTAAAACAGATAAAAGCTCACCTTTCTCTCCAGCTTCCCAGTTCCCTTCCCAGGAGGCAACCATTTACCAACTGCTTCTATATTCAAATATTATGCATGTTTGAGCATGTACATACATAAAATTCCCCGAATTTTTTTTAGTATAAATAGCAGCTCACTATGTGGAATGTTACGTGCTTTGTTTTTCCTTTAAAAATATAGCTCAGAAATCTTCCGCTATCTAAAACATCTAGATCTACACTCTATGGCTGTGTAGTGTTCATTGATGCGTAAGTTGTTGACACAGTCACAAGTGATCTGGCACGGGAAAGTTTGAAAACAAATCGTCCTAAATTCTTAGTTCCTCTCCCTCGTGATTCCAGTCTCAATCGCAGTGCAGCCACCAATTCCCAGTTTCCTCAGCTCCTGTGATTCCCCCACAGTTGGAGGAGCAGTTGGCTCTTGCCTTTTCTAAGCTAAGAATGTGTGGTAAGGACCATTCTGAGACAGTCTTATAGGGCTGTACAGTCGTCACCGTGAGTCCTGCTGGGGTCTCCAGGACTGGATCGGAAGTCCGCGTGGCCCCCAAGCACTCTGTCCCTGTCCCAGCCACTCTCCAGAGGCTGGGTCATGTCTGTCTTAAAGAAAGGTCAGTGGAGGGATGGGTTCCTGACGCTGCAGAGGCCAATGCAAGCTGGGACAACCTTTGCTCAGGATCAGGGTGTTTCGGGTGTGACAAATGTCCTTTTATGACAAGGTGCTGTTACAGAACGAAACATGGGGGCTGTGGGAGCTCGGAGGTGTCACCTAACCCAACTGTGCAGTCAGGAAAGGCCCCAGGAGGAGGCAGATGTTGTTGAACAAGCTCTGATGAGAGGGAGCAAGGTATGCAGAGGTTTAAACCTGTGAGTCCCACCTGGTCAGAGTGAGGCCAGGGAGACCACAAAGTACCGCAGAGGCTTCTGCATCTGGAAGTTTCCTCAGCTGAGATGACCCCTCTGGAGAAAGCAGGTTTAATTCTGGTGGGCATCACGGTGGAACTGGCAACAGCCAAGGACAGGATCAACACTTGAGGGAAACGAGCATTAACAGCTGTTTGATCCCCGTGAAGGGAGGACCCTGAGAAGAAGCATTCTAACCCTGCTGCAGATAAAACCTCGGGAGATAAACCCTGGAACACAGGGGACGGGGGACAGGAGACCTGGTGTCCAGTCACCCTGCTGCTTGCTCTCTGTATCGTCTCGGGCAAATAACTGCCTCTCTCCAGCCCTCCTTTGCTTTAAAATTTCCACAAAATAAAGCAGTTGTACTGACTGGTTTCCAAGGCCCTTTCCAGCCCCGGCGTCCTGTTATACTAAGTTCCGTTAAAAATCTTCAGCCACTTGTAGACCTAAAGCTTTTCTGGGATAAAATGCTGGAGAGCCATTAGTGCTGCTCAGCAAACAAATGCCGATTCTCCTCTTCTGGGCACATGGCCGGCTTGCAGGATGGCCAGCCACAGGATGGCCCTTGTGGGTAGGTGGGGCCAGGTGACTTATCCTGGCCAGTGAGTGCTGAGGGAAGGTAACACGTGGCACAACCAAGCCAGAACATCCAATGGGAGACCGCTGAGTTCTCTCCCCTCTGGCACAGTGTCCAGCAACGTTCCAGATGGTGGCTGACCCGTGTGCCTGTGTTCCTGGGGCCTTTGATGAGCCTCAGCCCATTGCCCACTGCACCCCCCCCCCACCACCACCACCATGATGAGCGTGCAGTGAGCAAAGAAAAACCTTAGTCGTTTCAAGGTGCTGAGATCTGGGGCTGTTTGTACTATAACATAAGCTAGACTAAGATAACTGACACGGGTTCTCATCCCTTCCTTTCCTCCTGTTTTGATGAAAGGTTGTCCTTCCATCGACCTGAAGCCTCTGTCCTCACTGTGACGGCACCCCTCCCACTTGCTCAGGGACACTGCCCAGTACGTCATCTCATTGCCCCCTCGTTCATACCTGTTCACTTCCCTCTGCCCTCTAACGACTCCAGGGTGAACCCTGCCCAAATTCAAGTCCTTGCCCCTGGACCACCCGTACCCTCCACTTCTGGGCAGCAGATAAACACGGAGAAGCCAAATTTCTGCCATCTTCCAGACATTACTGGGGATTTGTTATCCTGGCTAACACTGTGGCTAGATAAATCGATTTAATCCATCTAGGACTTGCTTCAGTTGCTGCCAGAAATAATGTAAGAGCCTACCCTAGACCTTCCACGAGATGGATTGACACAGTGGCTGCAACAGTGGGCTCAGACGTAGCGATGATTGCATGGATGGCGCAGGCCCGGACATTTCATTCTGTTATACATAACATTCCTATGAGTCGGAGCCAACTTGACAGCACCTAACAACAACCCTGGTCAATTATGTTTTCTCCTTTTCTCATCTCTGTAATGCTCTGTAGTTCCCATCTCCTAGCTACGTCCCCATCCCTTTCTCCTTCCTTCGCAAATCTCCATTCTATGATTCACAAAATCCTCCACTCACTTGTTCCCAAACTCATCCATATCATTCTTTGCCTCTTCCAAGAATGTTTCTTGACCACCTATGACGGCTGAGACTGGGCTTCCCCGAGCCCAGCTTTCCTGCAGCCTTGCTGGTAATAGTCTCTGGCACCCACTAGAGTTTCCCATGCCACCTAGTGCAGGCACAGATGGTGGGGGAACTGGGCTCGTCAAGGGCTGTGTTTATGCCAGAGCAGAGTGAAGGAAAAAAACGCAAAGACACAAAAGAGGAGCAAGAGATTAAGGGTTTTGACAAGGGCATTATTGCAACGATGGCCCAGGTACTCTAAGTGGATTCGTGGGGAAATGAAGAGCAGGAGATCAACAGGAGAAAGTAGCTGTTAAAGTGGTTGGAGGTGTCAGAAATGACAAAGAATGTGTTAGTGACTGTAGTGGAAGAGTCACCTGGAAGGATGGGATGTGTCAAAAGGAGGAGGGCTGATTTCTTGATTTTAGAGGTGGAGCAGGTCTCAGGCAATAACAAGCCCCAAGTCACCCTTGGGGGTGAGTGGGGCTCATTGGATATGAGGAGGCCAAGGGCCTGGGAAGCCTGGCGTGGGACTGTGACCTTGTGAGCATGGAACTCACCCAGGATGACGGCAGGACTTGGGGAGGAGAGGAAGGCCAGGGCCGAAGTCTGTAATGAATGGCGGGAATCCAGTGGGGTGGGAGAGGATGGTAGAGATGAGGATGGGGAGAGGGCAGTCAGTGACCAGCAAGTGCTCCAAAGGAGTGAGGCTGTGGACCAGAGGGAGGGCAGGGAGTATGTGGAAATGGCCAGGGGGCCTTGGGGAGATAACTGGCTTTCCCTTCACAAGCCTGAAGCACTATCCTGTGGGGACAGTCCAGCAAGGGGGAAGGAGGAGTGGAGGGTGGAGGTCAGGCAATGCTGGCAATGCTCAGCTTCCTCCAGACCTAGGAATGGGCTTGGGTGGGGAGGAGCAGAGAGCTGTTTCTGACCAAAGAATAACAGAGCATTATGGGAAATTCCATGTAGAGAACAGCTCCCTGGGCTGCCATCTCCTTGGTTCCCCAGTGGGTAACACGGTGATAGGCATGGCCAAGTTAGTCCTGAGTTTAGTCTCTTTGAGGGGGCCTTGGAGTGGCCACTATGGTAGAT